GAATGAATTATATTTTTAAAAAAAGTCACTCACTTTTTGTTGCTAAAAAAGAATTTGAGATTTCACCTACAAATACTTTGTTTATACTACAGTATTGGACAAAATAAGTGCAACCAAATAATGCTAATTTAGTTTCTTTATTTAAAAGTACTGCATTTTTTCAATTTAGAGAAATAACTATTTAACTGTTTAGAGAAAACGTTCTTCAAGTTTTATTCATCACAAAATTCATTATTTGTACACGAAAATTAATAAATTAATCAAAAGTATTAAAAAAAGTTGATTTCCTTCTGGACAAAACAAGTGCAACTCCACAAAATGTTAACCAAGCTGTATTTCGCTATCAATATTTCGTGGCGAATCCTTTGTTGTCGATCACAGCCTTGCATCTTTGAGGCATAGATTCGATCAAGTGATCAATGAAACTTTGTGGAATCGCTGCCCAGGACTTTTGGATTTGTTCAAACAGTTGATCCTTATTACAAACACCTTCAGGATTAATTCTGCGGTTGACGATCTCCCACAGGTTCTCTATAGGGTTAGGGTCCGGAGATTGAGGCGGCCAATCCATCACCGATTGATGGTTGTCTTGAAACCACTGCTTGAATACTTTTGTAGTGTGTTTCGGATCGTTGTCTTGCTAAAACCCATTTTGTTGGCATATTCCATTCAGCATGAGATAGCATAACATCTTTCACGATATTTTTATACATGAAACGGTCCATTATTCCATCAATTCGATGTATTGGATCTAGACCGTTAGCAGAAAAACACCCTCAGACAATTACATTGCCTCCACCATGCTTCATGGTCTTACGGCAGTAACGCGTTTTCCGGCCGGTCGACGTACCGTGTTACCGTGTTACATTTACCTTGTGATTATACAATAATGCTCTGTGGAACACAACGTCTTGGCTGGATGTGGAATGTATTGATGTAATGAAACACTTGTTGTATTTCACTTCTTGTATTGATGTTCTTCGATAAAACACTTTGATAAAACTCACTTAGATAAACTGTCTTGATAATACTGACTGATTGACTTCCATATACTGACTGAATTACATGTCGGTTTACATGTCTTTTATATAGTAAAATGAACCTGTGTGAACCTGTTCTGGAAGATTCTAGATGCTTCTTTTTTATACTTCTGGGAGCTTCTGGATGCTTTTGGATGCTTTCAGATGCTTCTTCTGGAAACTTCTAGAAGCTTCTGCATGCTTCTGGAAACTTCTGGATACTTCCTTTAATTATTAAAAAACTTCTGTGACGTTGACACGTTCCAGACTTAAGAAAATGAAAGAAACCAAAAATGTTGCACTTGTTTTGTCCGCTGCAAAATGACACTTGTCAACGAAATTCTGCCTATGTGCTGCCACCTGTCAGCTGATTGCTCATGTCATGGCATGCTATGATTCCAGACACCTGAACTGTTTGCTGTGGTCGTATAGTTCGTTTCATTTTTAAGACATGTAAAATTAGGAACACTTTTTAGCATTGTTCGATGTTGGTTGCAAATGTTTTATCCAATACTGAACATTAAAAGCAACATTTTCTGCTGCACAGAGAACATGACTAGTAACAGTCAGAAAATTTTTTCTTGCTTTTTGAACAGCTCAGGGATTTAAATGTGCTATTAATCAACCAATTAACTGCCAACTGCGCTTTTAAACTTTAACCAAGTTACGAGATAAAAAAAATGTTTTACTGCTACTTGAGGTCATCCTAATGAGAAAAAACCAGCCAGAAACATTTTTCTACATCTAGCGCAGACTTCAAAACGCAAATTTTTTTATTAGAATGTTTGTTCTTAATGAAGTATACCCAAAAATTTTCAAGAATTGCTTTTCTTCTAGTCAAAACTAGTTGATATTAGAACATTTGTAAAATTACACCAAACGTACTTTTATACAATTTTTATTGTGTATTAGAACATAGTTAGACTTTTATGATAACAGGCCTTAACTACAAGTATTTAACTGCAGATGTTTGTGTAAACGTTTTTAGAATTTAATTGAAAATGGTAGTAACTTTGTTGGATCACACAAAATGTTTTTAAAGTTTGTGAAAGTCATGTCCATATAAAAACTAAAAAGCTAGTACAGATATTTTGCGAAAAACATTAATTTGACCCTATTGGTAATTCAAAACCTAAGTGATCTATAACTTAAAGTGCTTTAACTAGCTGGGCGCTAATTTTAAAACTTAAAGCCTCTGTTATTGCGACTATGAAAAGCCTCTGTTATTGAAAAGCAATTTAAAACTCTTTTTTCAATAATTTTACTTTAAATTAACCTTATTAGAAGTTTATAAACACCCTACACCTTACACCACATACTTTACCATATTTTACAATTGCTATTGCCAAATATTTTTTTTTTTTGATTTTTATTAAATTTTTATAACTTTTAAATTTTGTTATAAATTTAAGTTATAATTTTAAGAGAATATTACAGCATGAGGCAATATCGCAACATGAAACAACATTGATAAAACAATTTTTAAAGCTTTCCAGCTTCATCACCTTATCGCATATTAGGTTATTGTTACTGCCAGAATTATTTCAAGTGCAGTTTTCATCAATTTAACCTTTATCAAATTCTGATTTTTATGTACAAACATCATAATAAAATATCACCTACAATATTTATTACGATTTTCAATAAAATTAATCTCATGTACCCTTTAAGATTTTCAAAGTGCAATTATAAGCAACCTAAAATACATTATTTAGCTACCAAATTTCCAATTTTCATAAGAGGTTCTAAATTATGGAAAACCATATTAAAAAACGAACTGAAAAATTGTTCTTCTCTTTCCCTATTTAAAAAAAATGAGACAAAAACTTATTAAAGATGTTAATGAATTAAATTCTTTTTAAAATTATTATCATTATTATTTTGTCTCTATTTTTTTTGTCTATTTTGTCTATTATATATGTCTCTATTTTTCTTTATTTCTAACAACTATTTTATTAACTTTTCTTTATCTTTTTTATTTTTTAGAGATAAGTTATAAATAATTTTCTTTAAATTATCCTTTTAATTTATCTATAGTTTTTAGGTTTGATTATTTTTTATTTACTTTTTACAATTTTCTTACGATTACAGCTTAGTAACTAATCTTAACATATTTGTAAGTATTTGTATATAATTTTTTAATGGTACGAGGTAATTGTATATACAATGTGTACAACCAATTAAAGGTAAATATACGTATGTTTACCTTTTATTGGCTGTACACGCCTGCTAATGAAAGTACGTTGAGGTGTAGTGATATGGCTAATATTGTCTTCTTTTAGCCCCGGTCATACAGATTTTATTCATATAACACGACATTGTATTCTTTTTTTTTACTGAAGAAATTAAAAAAAAAATCATTCTAACTAACTTAGAGCTTTTTTTTAAAAAACAATTAACAGAAAAGGGTGTAAAGAAGTTTGGAAAGAGAGGTTTAAAAGTATGTAATGGACGTCTTTTTACAACTTTAATAAAAAAAATAATTTTTTAGTTGCTGTTTATTTTTAATTTTAAACTTATTTTTATAATTTTTGAAAAAAGCTTTTAATAATTTTTTCTTTTTATCATACAATTTTTATTTTTACTCGAAAACTTTATAAACCTTTAAACGTCTAGGGAGTTGAAAATGGCCCAGTATTTATAATAATGTTTTAAAAGAACTTTTTCCAAATCTCTATAAATATAAGATATCTATACAATGTCCATATACCCCAACATATTGCTTATTTAAAAAATAATTTATTTTTAAGAACGTAAACCTTAGTCTTGAAAAATCCAATATTAACAAAATATATTAAACATATCTGAAGATATCAACAAAGATATACGAAGATATCGATAAAGATAATAAACGTGTTAATTATCAAAGGCAGAACTGTCGCACAAAGGCGAATCCATCATTTTTTGTCTTCCTGACACAGAGTCAACGCCAAACATTTTTTTATTTATATTTATGTCAAATAAGGATGCTTTTAAAAAATTGCAATGATTAGAGTCTGAGAACAAAAAAGAGATATAGTAGTTATGCGTTAATGAGTTTATTTTTTAGTGTGTCCACTGTTTTATAGTGTGTCCACTGTTCTATTTCTAATAATTGATTACAGATTTTATTTTAAAATATTAGATTAAAGGTTTTTAATCTAAAATTGAGATTCTTTTCTAGAAATAAATTTCTTGCCTTTTATCTTTTAGTTTTTTGTTGGACAATTGTTTACATACAGCTGTAGCTGGTATACTGAAAAATTTACAATAAGGATTTTATTTCTGAATAAATTTTGTAGCATCGATGGCTGCCTTAGATTATATAATACTTTTAATGCGATTATTAGAATTTAAATATTTTTTAGAATTTATATATCGTTTATTTATTTTGTATGTAAAATATTTATGCTTTAAAACAAAATTATTTCTTGTAATAGAAACTACTACAAGTACATTATGCAACATGTTCAACAAAATGGTTCAATATGTGCAATACCATTTTGCAAAATGTACAATAACATTATAAAACATATACAACAACACTGTGTACAATTACATTGTGCAACATATACAACAACACTTTAAGTACATTGTGCCACATGTATAATAACATTTTGCAACAAGTACAATAACATTTTGCAACTTATACAACAATATTGTGCAACGTGTAAAATAACATTTAACGAGATATTCTTACAATGATTGTAAGAATATCTCATAAAATAGACACTTTACATTACGAGGTTTATAAATTTTTTAATATTTTTATATTTACATTTTTTTAACTAAATACTATTTTTATATTTTTTTGATATTTCTGACAACTTATATTATCTTTTTGGCTTTTCGGCATTAACTGTTTTGGCTTTTTTGAAATAGGTTTAAAATTACATATTATTTTATTAACTTAATATTTAAAGTTAAAACTTGACTTTTTTTACTTGTTCAAAACGCATTTAACTTTTGGCGTTAAAATTAAGAAAAGTTACTTTTATTTAGGTACTTGTACGTATGTTACTCGATTGTTGGTCACTGCACAGTTACTTATGCTGATTCCGTTACAGCAATATTTAACCAAATTTATTTGAATGCATATAACAACGTTAGCAATGTTTTACCTGCTATAGAAAATGTTTCAATGTTTAATTGCATTCACCGTTGCATAGCAACTAAGCTTTGCAAATCCGTAAACTATGGCGTTAACAAAAGTGTCTGCGAACTAATTTCAGCAACACCGCCTCAGATTCAAATCCGACAAGGATGGCAGTTTATTACATCAAACTATACAACTAGTTTTTCAATGTCATTACAAAAAATGCCGCAACATAGAACAACAAAAGTCATAGCAAGAACGACAAATTTAATTACTACGACTTTACCAACAACTGTCGGTATTCCATTTGTAGAGCAATCTTCAACGTTTAAAAATAATTTTACTTATGCATCTCGAGCAATCGATGGTGTATTTGCTAATAATGATATCAATTTTTGCGCGGTAACCACTGAATCTTATAGCCCTTGGTGGAAACTAACTTTACCTGAAGAAAATATAATTCATTCTGTTAAGGTTGTAACCATTGTAAGTATAGAAACCAAACGACTAGGAGGATTTAAGTTAAAAATAGGCGACGCGAGAGAAAAATATATTTTGTGTGGGCATCTGACAGGTGTGCCATCTAGAACTTTAGTATGCAACGTACGTGGTAAATATGTGTTCATTGGAGATAAAAAAGCAGTAGATAAACTTATTTTATGTGAGGTAGAAGTGACTGAATTATAAAACTTTAACAAATGAATAAACTTGTTTTGTCTTCTTGACTTGTTTTATTTTTTTAGTAATTTCTGAACCTTTTGACCTGGGTTTTTTTCACATAATAAAACGCCAAGCTAAGAGACCGCGGTCCCCACAACATTTATTAAACTATTTTTACCAGCAAAGAATGAACCTTAATATAGTTTAGTTTATTTTAGTGGTCAATAATTTAAAATATTTACAACAACCTGTAAGAAATTTATAGACTTTTGAAAAATCATAAATGTTTGCTATGTTTAAACTACAGATGAAGATGTGCTGCATCAGACACCTTTATATTAACAATCTTTAGATACTCGTGCACATCTGCGACACAAGTACCATACACTAAGAACATAATAGAATACTAGAAACATATGCAAAAGAATTTAATGGCTCAATATTGAATGACAATTATTACAATATACAAATGATTAAAAGATAAACATAAAAAGCTAAACATAAAAGCTAAACATAAAAGCTAAACATAAAAACAAACCTATTTCGAAAATATCATGTTGAAATACCTTTTTCGTAATTCGTAAATGTCGTTGTTTTTAGGGAGTTAAAATATTATGGGGAGTTAATTTGTATCGCCGACAAGGGTTAGTTTATTTAAAGGGAATTTAATCAATTTCAAAATAAATTAACTCACCAGTTAATTTTTTACGCTACGGGAGTTAATTTATTATGGGGTTTAATTTATTCATTACACCGGCACAATTCAGAAACAAGTTATTTTCTGTATAATAAAAAAAAATATCCTCTTTACAATTAAAGAAATATTTCCGTTTTTATGTATATATATTTTTTTTTTAATAATAATCGTTCATATTAATAAAAAAGGGTTTTTCACATAAGTTTTACTATTAACTTTTTTTTAACATATTTTATAATATTTTTCCATTAAAATAACTTTCCGACTTTATATATGTATATATATATATATATATATATATATATATATATATATATATATATATATATATATATATATATATATATATATATATATATATATATATATATATATATATATATATTTTGTTTTATGAATTTTATTTATTTTTTTACTTTTTTTGTGTTATTTGATTTTATATTTTTTTGTATTTTTAGATTTTATATTTTTTTGTGTTTTTTTGTTGTTTTTTTTATTTTATTGCCTTTGTGCGGAGAGAAATCGATAAGCTTTTAGAAGAAATTGATTAAGTTTAATTAATTATTTTAAGTAAAGGAAAGAAAATTTTATAAGTAAAATAATAATAAGGTACAGGACTTTAACACAAATACCACGTTACTAAAAGTTACAAAGAAACATGCAAATAAAATTTTATATAAGGGCCGGCAGTGTTTGTCTAATCATAAATAACAATATTTTTGTAGTAATTATAGAACTTATATTTGTAGAAAACAGGAAACACTTAACTAAACATTTAGTTCTTGTTATGAGCCAGTGTACTTGTTCAGCTCATATGTTTAGTTTCAGGTTCCCATTTTCTATTTGACAAAAAACGTTATTGATACAAAAAGTTTGACAGAAAATGTCCGTAGTGTTTCTACGGACATGGTAATTATATTTTAAAATAATAATATTTCTGATATTTCTGATAATTATCCTGATCACTGCCATTGGATCAATTTTTGAATTGTTAAACAAATGGTGGCATCTGCTGTTCCATATTTCACTCATGATGGTTTGAGTGATTGTCAAAAGCAGCTGCGAGGTAGGGTTTTTCTCCGATAAATTCGCAGTTTCAATCGAAAATATCAAATTTATTGGAGAAAAGTTGTTTTGGGATGTCAAGGAGTTATATACATGTTTAAAGTATTCCCATATTGTAACAGAGGGAGGACAGTAGGCAAAAATGTGCAGATTGTCCTTAATTTTTCTGCAGGTTTTACATTTGTTGTTTTTAACGATCTGTTGCCTTGTGCTTTTGGCAAGCAAGGCAGCGGAAGGTAAGCTGTTGTGAAGAAATCGAAAGAGGATGTTTTGTGTTGGTCCGGATGCGTGGGAGGTAAAGTTTTTTTTCCAAATCTGGGTCCACGGCATTGTTGTTTTTGTTGAACTGTTCCAGAATAGTTCAGCTGGCACGACTGTCTTTTTGTTTTTTGCCACTTCTAAATAAATATTTTTTGTTGTTTTTAGAGGGATGTTAAACAGGGACCCGTATTTGCTTAAAATTTCAATTGTGGTTTTGTAGTACTGAGACATTTTGTTGTCCCAGTGTTTTGGAAAAGTGTTTTGTCTTAAAAAGTTCCAGCTTTGGTTCTGTTTAGTAAATTTTACAAGTGAACTTGCCAACCAATACTTTGAAAAGTAGTAAGAATTGTGAGTTTTGCCCTCTTGACACTCTTTTATTTGAAAGAGCGTTTTGAGGCGGAGCGCAAAACTTTGCTCCTTTGGTGATAATAATTCGAGACCCCCGCTTTTGACGGGTAGGAAAACTGTCTCTCGTTTGACCGGGTTATAATTGGTCTTTTGCAACAAATTTTCGCAGAAAACAAAGTACGTAGTTCCAGAAACTTGAGCTTTTTCTCTATTTTCTTAAGAGCTACTTGCCAGTTGAAATTGGTAGTATTGCTCAATCTGGTATAAAAGGTAACACCTAAAATTTTAAAACCGGTGTCGTCGTTCCACTCTATGTTATCCAATTCTCTATAAATTTCGGGATCAAAACCCCCAAGAGCAAGACCCTTGGTTTTTGAGGCGTTGATCACTGAACCACTTGCTTTTTCAAAGATTTTTATGTTTTCAAAGAAATAACGAACACATTTTACGTCCTTGGTAAAAAAGTTCGAATCGTCTGCGTACTGCTGTAGTTTTAGAGGTTTCGGTGCTCCCGGTATAGGAAAACCCTTTATTCTGCTGTCCGCTCGTATCACCAAAGCCAGAGCTTCGGCGACAAAAACGTACAACAAAAGAGAGAGAGGGTCGCCTTGTCTAACACCCCTTTCTATAAGAAAGGAGGTTGACAGGAAGCCGCAATTCAGAACTGTTAGCGACACTTCTGAATACAAGGTGTTAATAAAGGATACAAAATTTTCTCCGAGATTAAATTTTTGGAGAATTTGCAGCAGAAACGCACAATCGACTTTGTCAAACGCCTTTTCTTGATCTATGGTCAAAATGAAACTAGGTAGTTTTTTAAATTCAGCGTAATCTATAAGATCACGTACTAGGTGTAAATTTGAAAAAATGTTTCTACCTGGAATTCCGCAAGTCTGATTTGGTTCTATAATTTTCCCCATTACTTTTGCAAGTCTTAGGGCCAGCGCTTTTGTGATTATTTTGTAATCAACGCCGATTAAAGATATGGGCCTCCAATTTTTGCATTTAGTAAGATTTCCTTGTTTGGGAATCAGTAAAATTATTGATTTTTTCATAGAGCGGCTGGTATTTTTTTCTACAAAAAGAATTTCGTAGGCAAGTTCTTCAAATTCTTTTTCTAAAATGTGCCAAAAAGTTTTGTAAAATTCAGCTGGAAATCCGTCATAGCCCGGAGATTTTCCGTTTTCAAATTTAAAAAGAGCTTTATTCAGTTCCGCGCCATTTAGGCGGGTGTTTAAAACAAGTTATGCTTCGATTCTGTTGCGTGTTAAAAACCTTCTAAAACATAAAGAATAACACGTGCCGAGAATGTTTTAAATTCGAAAAAATTAGCTATTACTAATTACAATAAACACCTGTTAAAACATCAATGGTTTTACCGTTACGGAGACGTAATACTATGTTATAATAAATTTCTGTAAGGAATGTGAAACCACTGATAAAAGCATGCAACATTTAAAAAACACGTTTTAAATTCGAGTAAAACTGCCCGTAATATGCAGGTGTTTTTGGTTTACGCCTGTATCGTGACAAACATGCTTTTAATTCCGAAAATGAAACTAGATATCCCGGTTCCCAACCGACACATCTAGTTTCTTTTTCGGAATTAAAACCTGTATAGACACGTGTTTGTCACTATCCAGGCTTAAACTAAAAATATGTGTATATAACGGGCAGTTTTACTAGAGTTTAACATGTTTTTTTTGAGGTTTTAAAGTCAAATTTAAATGTCGGCTGCTTTTATTAGTGGTTTCACATTCCATACGGAAATTTATTTTAGTACAATACAACGTTCCGTAATGGTGAAACCATTAATATTTTAACTGGAATTTTTGGTAATAGTAATAGTTAATTTTACGGAGTAAATATCGTTTTTGTTACGTGCTATTCTTTTTGTTTTAGAAAGTTTTGAACACGCACCAGAAACTTTTTTCTGAGTTGTGCCGGCTGGACATGTAAAATTACATTATATTCACTGATCTCAAAATATAACTAGATAACGTATTTTGCTAATTACAAATTAAGAAATTTTTGTTACGAATTTTTATATATTTTGTTAAATATTATTAAATGTACAAGCTTCAAATATAAATATAATTTTTGGTTTTACTTAACAATAAAAAAAAATCAAAAAAAGATAAAAACACAATATTACATACTTGAGTAAATTTCTAAGATATATATATATATATATATATATATATATATATATATATATATATATATATATATATATATATATATATATATATATATATATATATATATATATATATATACAGGCGCGGATTTAGAGGGGGCTCGTGCCCCCCCCCCCCCTAAAATTTGATTACTTTTTTATTTATAATTATGTCGATCCATTCTCAGGTCAGATATTCACTAGATGTGATGAAGAACAGTATGAACAAGTGTTAACAAATTAAAACCCAACTGATGGGACCATTATATGGCATACAATGTGACGAGGTTACTGACAGCAGTAATTGGGAGCAGTTGGGACTTGTTCTAAGGTATACTGTAGGGCATAAACCAGTTGAACGTTTGTTTGAATTTTTGCCCTGTGAATCTATCACTGGAGAAGCTCTATGCCAGAAAGTCATCGATGCTCTTTCGGATGCTGGGTTTGAAATTGCAAATTGTCGATCCCAGACAATGGATGGGGCTGGCAACATGGCTGGGAAGAACAAAGGCCTGGCAGCACCAGGCCTTTTGATTTTAAATTTTGAATTTTATTCTTTTGCATTTTAAATGGTGAAAAGTTTATATTAACATCTATTACAGAACTTTCAACACCTTCATTTTACAGAGAAGTTAAGCTTACAGATAATGCTT